TATAGGTACTACATGTGGACCTCTCTTAGATTTGTTCATTTTGTAATGATATCTTTAATTCTCTAATTTTGGTGAATATTTTTGTCATTTTTGGTAAAAAGTGATATTTTCGACTTCTTGTTGAAAACCGCAAGTCCAATTGCTTTGATATTACATATATAGATACTACATGTGGACCTCTCTTAGATTTGTTCATTTTGTAATGATATCTTTAATTCTCTAATTTTGGTGAATATTTTTGTCATTTTTGGTAAAAAGTGATATTTTCGACTTCTTGTTGAAAACCGCAAGTCCAATTGCTTTGATATTACATATATAGGTACTACATGTGGACCTCTCTTAGATTTGTTCATTTTGTAATGATATCTTTAATTCTCTAATTTTGGTGAATATTTTTGTCATTTTTGGTAAAAAGTGATATTTTCGACTTCTTGTTGAAAACCGCAAGTCCAATTGCTTTGATATATTATACATATAGGTACTACATGTGGACCTCTCTCAGATTTGTTCATTTTCTAATGATATCTTCTGTTCTTTAATTGCCATGTGCATTGCTAACAGCGGAGCTATCTCAGCCGACAGGCTGCTTGTTCATTTTTGAATTTTTATTTGTTAATTAGTAATATCTATATTATCAAGGGGCAAGGTTGTAAGATTACACTATGAGTTACACACTGCCCCCTGTCATATGATAACATGTCAAGTACAGGGATGTAGTAAATGATAGTCAAATACAACTAAATGTCAACAAATTGTAAATACACAAAGTTGTGCAGTATATTGTAAATGCATTAATTATTCACTGGCCTTTAATTTCGTTATTTTCGCTGATAAGTAAAACCCGCTCAATTAAATCTATGTCAACATGTAAAGTAACAATAAAATTCATTGTTTCTTTGACAAATTTGTAAAATTAAAACAGTGAATATGCTAAAAATAGTGAAATTAAATGATTTCACAGTAGTCAAGAAGAGAAAAGTCAAACTTGTTGTTATGTCAATGCTTGCATTTCCATTGGTTAGCCTGATAAAAGCCAACCAATGAAAGGTTTTATAATTAGTGATAACTGACCAATCACGACATATCGCATATTGGCTAATATATGGCAGTAAATCAGCCAATGATAATTGTCGTTACAAAGTGACTTATATAGCCAATGAAAATTGTTTTCAGATTTAAATGAAGCGTGAGGGTCTTTCATTTATGTTCCTAATTATTTTGTAAATTATAATAAAAACATCCGTGCCTTTATGAAACTCACTGTATCACTTGTGCTATCATCATCATAAATATTAATATTTTTTCGTCTTTGTAGTTGCGCCAACACATGTTGCCAATTTCACTTGTTATACCTTCAACATAGATGATATATTTTGTTCCTGGGATGAAGGAAGTAAAACAAACATTCCAACCAGTTACACTTTCTACTATACAGCATATTACAGAAACGATTAGTAAGTATGTTTCATTATGACATCATATCATGTATGCAGAATGATGTCATATCTTGTATGTTGCTCTATGACATCGAATCCTGTATGGCCAAGTTTGGGATTCTTTGGTTATCTGTCATGGAAATCATTGGCTTGACCAATTCACCATCAGTTACCATGGAAATCATTGTCTAGGCCAATTCACCATCAGTTACCATGGAAATCATTGTCTAGGCCAATTCACCATCAGTTACCATGGAAATCATTGTCTTGGCCAATTCACCATCAGTTACCATGGAAATCATTGTCTCGGCCAATTCACCATCAGTTACAATGGAAATCATTGTCTTGGCCAATTCACCGTCAGTTACCATGGAAATCATTGTCTTGGCCAATTCACCATCAGTTACCATGGAAATCATTGTCTAGGCCAATTCACCATCAGTTACAATGGAAATCATTGTCTTGGCCAATTCACCATCAGTTATTATGGAAATCATTGTCTTGGCCAGTTCACCATCAGTTACCATGAAAATCATTGTCTAGGCCAATTCACTATCAGTTACCATGGAAATAATTGTCTTGACCAATTCACCATCAGTTACCATGGAAATCATTGTCTAGGCCAATTCACCGTCAGTTACCTTGGAAATCATTGTCTTGGCCAATTCACCATCAGTTACCATGGAAATCATTGTCTAGGCCAATTCACCATCAGTTACCATGGAAATCATTGTCTAGGCCAATTCACCATCAGTTACAATGGAGATCATTGTCTTGGCCAATTCACCATCAGTTACCATAGAAATCATTGTCTTGGCCAATTCACCATCAGTTACAATGGAAATCATTGTCTTGGCCAATTCACTATCAGTTACCATGGAAATCATTGTCTTGGCCAATTCACCATCAGTTACCATGGAAATCATTGTCTTGACCAATTCACCATCAGTTACCATGGAAATCATTGTCTAGGCCAATTCATCGTCAGTTACCATGGAAATAATTGTCTTGACCAATTCACCACTAGTTACCATGAAAATCATTGTCTAGGCCAATTCACCGTCAGTTACCTTGGAAATCATTGTCTTGGCCAATTCACCATCAGTTACCATGGAAATCATTGTCTAGGCCAATTCACCATCAGTTACCATGGAAATCATTGTCTAGGCCAATTCACCATCAGTTACAATGGAAATCATTGTCTTGGCCAATTCACCATCAGTTACCATGGAAATCATTGTCTTGGCCAATTCACCATCAGTTACAATGGAAATCATTGTCTTGGCCAATTCACTATCAGTTACCATGGAAATCATTGTCTTGGCCAATTCGCCATCAGTTACAATAGAAATCATAGAATATGAAAATAATAGACACACAAATGACCCACTTTTACAATTTACTACTGTGTCTCACCTAATGATTTTTACCCATTTATAGTGTACCAGACCATAAGAGTTATAATTGGACAGAGTGTCCGGATAGTGAAAAGTTTCCTGACTGTCCAGATGAAATCCATGATTACACTTACTCCTGTTATCTGCTGTTTGAATATGATCACCTAGGATCTCGACACAACGTGTCAGTGGTAGCACGTAATGACTTGGGTACAGTCACCTCAGCATTGGAGTTTAACCCTGACCTTGAAGGTTTGTGGATTATTGTAGTAATTATGTCAGTATGTGTATACCTGGGTGTCCTAGTATGTATGTATGCATATGCCCGTATGGAAGTTCATTCCACCAAAACCTTGATTGATGATTAGATCAATTAAAATCAAATTAGGTACACAAATAAATGCATGATCTAAAAGTTAATTATGTTGCTCATTTACATAATTAGGTTTTAGCTTTTATTCTTGTTATTGTTAGAAGCAGAATAAAGTTTAATCAGAGAGATACTTATATGCTATTTTCATGTTATGATATGTGGTATGTATTTTGTGTGAAAATCAGTGCTTATCAATTTAATTAATAAGTTTTAGCTTTTTTTATACCTATATCATGATTTAAAAAACTTTAAATGAACGAAAACTTGGAAATTTGGATAAAACATTTGTTAATACATGATTGTTCAAAAGAATATTACCGTACTCAACCGCGTTAGCGCCCATGCCCGGGCAAGCGCCCACCCCCCACTTTTCACAACTTTTGTATTTGGGGTCACATTTGGCAAAGCGCCCACCCCTTCAAAATGCAACTAATTTAAAACTTGGTCTTGCGTAACGAATCTTGGTAATCGTTTTTATATGATACAGCGTGGACATCGATCGCTGTGAACATGTTGTGAATGCGTAGAACACGGTAACCGTATGCTTCGACAATGACCTGTTAATACAAGTAAAATGCGATAAATATTTCATGCCATATTTAGTTTACCTCTCAAAAATGGCTAGTTACTCGTTTTTTGGAAAAACCATGTCGTTTATTCGCTGAAATCAATTCCAACAGATCGTACTTGGACATCGATTATTCACTTCCGCATTGCGTTACCGGAAAGTCTTAGAGAATTTCCGAAGAATTGCGTCAGTACAACACAGCATTCTGATTAGTTAATAACCAACTTTGACCCATTAGGTCAAACGATGCTGCTGTAGGTCAAATCTGCAATTGCATCATGGCGGAAAGTGATTTTCATCGAGAGTTTGCGTACAATC